AAAAAAAAATTTAAAAAGACACCATTAACTATGGTGATGGCACATGGGTGAATTGGTGGTGGGAAGCCCAGGGGGATTACAGCTGAGATGGAAAAGGGCACAAAATGATGTAAAAATAAGCTATCATATTATTAAAAAAAAAAAAAAGGAACGATCTATCAAGTCTATACAAAGACATGGAAGAAATGTAATTGTTAGTCACCGAGTGAAAGTATCCTCTGGTGGAGAAGAAACACATTTTGTACAATTCCAATCTATATGACATTTCTGGAAAAGACAAAACCATGGACAGTAAACGGACCAACAGTTGTCAAAAGTTAGGTAAGAGGGAGGGATGAAATAGCAGAGAACAGAGGATTTTTAGGGCAATAAAATTTGTATCCATGATACAGTGATTGTCATTATACATTTGTCAAAATCCACAAAACTGATAAGACTGGTCCGAATGTAAATTTTGGGCTTTGGGTCCTAAGGATTCATAAAATTGATTAATTGTAATAGATATACCAATCTAAAGAGGAATTTGATCATGGGAGGAGGTTGTTTGAGGACAGAGTTGATATGGGAAATCTTTGGGTTTTCTGCTTAATTTTTCTGAATCTAAAACTTCTCTAGAAATTAAAATCCAAATGAATTGATGACAATGCCAATGTAATTTTAAAATAAGGTCATGTCTTTTAGATTAATAAAATGATTACTACCTTAATAAAAAGACACCATTTAAAGAACTTGAAGACAATGCACAAATTTTAACCATCTTAATACAGAGATAATTTTCTAAGTAAGCAAAGGAGAAAAGATGGATATATTCAAATTCACAAAACCAGTACATTCTTCATATACTTACTTGAAACAAAATCAGAGCCAAAAGACCAAAAAAAGGAATGTTGTCATTACATTTGACAAAGACTTAGATTCTACTATGTTGCTACAAATAACAAAAGGCTAGTAACTCAAACTAAAAGTAAAGGTCATAAAAAAAGACACCAGAAAAACATATTTTTTAAATTGATTTTTAAAGAATGGGACACTGATTTGACAAAAATGAAAAGAAAGAAGTATAGTTAAACAGTGAGATGACCATTATTCATCTTTGAAATTGGCAGAAACGAAACCATTGAATAATGTTTGCCGCTGGCCACTAAGTAGGGAAATACGTGCCACTAAATCATCTTGTCAAGATTATTAATGGTTGACCCTTGAACAACATGATTTGAATATGGGGGTTAAATGTGGCTTTTTTTTTTTTCAGCCCACAGGTTTGACTTTTCCAGATTCAACCAGCCCTGAATGTCAGAAGATTGTCTATCAGGGGCTTTAGCATCCACGGATTTTGGTATCCTTAGGACTCCCAAAACCAAGCCCCCCTTGACATGAAGGGCTGCAGTTAAGTTTTGGGGAAGTCAGAAGTTTAACCAAGGTTTTCAGTTGCACAAGGGTACAACTGAACACCAGCCATGCACTTTCTTGTTCAAGAAAGTTCTGTATTTTGCCTTGATAGTCAGCTCATGGGTTCAATGTCTTTGATAGTAATTGAGCAGTTTTATGTCTCTGCAGAGACAAGTTGGCAACATGTATTGGAATTTAAAATGTACATATTCTCTGACCGGCAATTCCATTCTAAAATTTTACCCTACAGATAAATATATACACGTATATGCAAAGGTACATAGTGAAGATATTTAGGCAAAAAGAACCCTCAATAGGTAGATGAAAGTAAGATTTAGTTCATATCCATAAATGATTACCATGTGCCAATGTCATATTTTTCTCTAGCATATGAAGTACACAGGTACAAAAACAGAATGTATCATACAAATTCATTTATTGATAAAAAATAACAACAATAATAGTAAAAGCCAGAGATAGATAGATACATAGATACATAGATAATACATACATACTTACGTATGTACGTACACAGACAGACATAATTGTTCATGGTGCCATTTTGTCTTCTATTTCTGAAAAAACTTACAAGAGATCTACAAGGGAGGTTAGTAGAGTTACTTTTCATGGTATCTTTTCATATTTTTTAATGCATCGATCGTCTTTACATATATTTTATAATTTAAAAACTAGCTAAATCACAAGAATAATATCAGCATAATTCAATGTGGCCTTTAAGAGATTCTCTGTGATAATAATAGCGATGTTAGTAAAACAGTACATTTTTTATTCTTATTTTCATGTTTTTGTTGTTACCAACCATAAAATATTAAACACCCATGAGAATAACTCAATAATCCAGGAGTGAGACAGGGTTAGCCATTTCATTGTATATAAGTTATTCAACTTCAAAAGTCTACACTGGATCTATTAATGAATATTGTATTTTTAAAAGATGGTTTCCCGGGCAGCTGGGGGTAATTTAAGCTAATTTGTAGCTATTGCCACTCCCTGCCCATCCCAACAATGTATTCAAATTCAATAACAAAGTTACTTATTAAACCCAAGAGATATTATGTCCTGGGAAAACCATTAGAACCTGCCTTGTCAGAGAACTGATCTGTTCATGAAATACGAGCAACTGTCTCCAAAAACCGAAAATGGGCAATCGCCATGTAAGTATTTATTGCCTTTTGGAATGCAACTAAGTCTTAATTTTGGTTAGCATGTGAAGAAATTTAAACTATTATTGTAATTACAACCCTTTAGGTTTGGTTTTGCTATATGTGGCTTTTGAAATGTATTTGGAAGATATTTTTGGTCCATTAGTCAAAAAATCTCTTAAGAAGGGCTGAGAGAAATGTTTTATACAATTTGGTAAATGGTGCTTGTGGACAGCAAACGGTTCATAGCAATGGCAGAGCGAGTGCCTAGAGCAGCTTGTTTGTAGCAAAGTTGCACAAGATTTCACAGACCACCGGCGTCAGAGTTTTGCTTCCAAAAGAGGTTCACAGTGAAATATGTAAGTAGATCAAGGTTAAAAAGAAGAAAAGCACTCTTACAGAGCCCTATAATTGGGATGGAAAGGGGAAATATTTTTAGTTATTTCTAAATAATAGGATGCTTCTGATGAGGCAGAGGACCCCCGAAATAATCAGGGACTCCCCCACACACTGGTTGCTTAGGAAGGACACTCATCCCTCGAAAGTCAACTCCAGGAGCAGCAGGCCTTTGTGAATGGTTTCGCATTTTTATGTATTTCTGTTTGACTCCTCAGAGCCAGTCTTACTCCCTCTCAGAAGGCAGTCAACAGCTGCCCAAGGGGAACACCCAACCCTCAGCAGCCGTGCAGCCTCTTGGCCACCTGGCAGGGAGTGGACAGCCAGAGACCCAACCGCCTGTAAGCATTTTATTTTCCCTCCAAATCATAGGTATGAGCAGGCGCTCTCGTGGGCCTGCGTTATTCACCAATGACTTGTCGTCTTGCACCCTTGGCCACCCTGCATTGGAAAATGTCCATATCAGGCATTGCTTCCAAACAGGGAAACTATTTCCCAGGAACATGATTGGGACGCTATTGACAACTAAGACAAAATGTGGCCTGGGGATTCCCCTTATGTCCCTAGTAGTGTTCCCTTCACATGGCCTTTGATTTTTGAGCCTGATGCCATGACATTTTCAAAAATAGTGACAGAACTATTTGCGCACAGGAAAGAACACATTCTAAGACCGTGTTTCCAAATAAGTAAATGTAGATTCTTTTTATAGAGCAAAAACTGTCTTCCCAGGACCTCAGTTATTTGCATTAGATTTTGACTTGAATTTGTAGTTTGAACCAACACAACAGAAACAATTTTCCAACTTATATCAAGTAAAATACAAATCGATGATGTGTAAAGGCTTGTGACTGATACAGTGTCACAGATAATGTGATTTTTCAGAAATTAAATGGTTGTGTTCAATGTAAAGATGCCTCTGATGGCCAGAATGAAGTTTCTTTCAGTTGCAGCATATCCAAAGTGTGATGTAGTATAGGTCTATCTAATCTACCGAGAAAGCTTTGTTTTCAGGAATCCCTGTAATAACACAGTTGTATCTTCTCTGGGCTCAGCTGCATGATTTTTAGTAAGCTGGTCTTGGTTCTCTTTTAGCTCTAGCACTGGCCTGGAACAATGAGCATATACCTATTTGGCGTATAGACAACCATAAGTCGCAACACACATGAAGCCTTGAAATCATGTGCTAGCACTTGATCATTCAAGGATTGAAATCATCTTAACTTTTAAATTTCCATCAGCATTAAATAGACCACTTAAAAATCCTAGAAGAGATTTGGATCTCGAAGAATATGATCACTGACCAGGGTCCACGAGTAACTCCTTGACAAACACTGCCCTAAAGTCAATATTGGCCAGGAAATGACATTTTCCAAGATACTGTGATAAGGAATTCTAAGCAATTCTAAAAATTGAAAATTACTTTTTAGCTTTCTCCAATCCTTATATCATAACAACACATTTTTTTTTTAATAGAAGACCTCATGTTCATGACCCACCTATGTAGAGCATCATGAGATCCTGGATTATTATCATTTGCTAAATCACACAGCATTCCATGTTTGCTTAGCCTGGAGGGCACATCCAGGAGTTCAATGCACTTTCTGTGCAGACAGAAAAATAAGATCACAGAAATATCTGCTTATAGTTTAGCTTAATGGCTCTTCTATTCTATTGTGTTTTCAAGAGAAGCCCTACCTAGAGGGAAATAGAGAGAATTGAGATCAATGTTGACATAACTTTGCCATTAAAAAGTAGTGGTTAGGCATGTGCAGTACACTAGGAAGGGAGCACGATTTAGGGGGGAATAATAATCATAAACTCAAGAGGACTGGTGAATTCTGGAGAGTCATTTCCAGAACTGAGGAAGTAGAAAGACACTTTTAAGGCACTAGACAGGACAAGCCAGCCTTGTTACTCAATGCACAATGCCTGGACTAGTATCCAGGTTGCCAGAGTACTTGCAAGAAAAGCAGAATCTTGGGTGCACCCAGGATCTGCACTGTGACAAGAAGTGATTCTGAAGTAAAGAATTGTGGAACTGGGGGCCCAGTTCTCCAGCTTGGCTGCACTTTGGAATTGCCTGGGATGTTCTAAACCCACCACTACCCTAATCCCACTCTCAGAGAGTCTGAATTGATGGTTCTGAGCACTGGCATTTGTAGATGTTCCTCAGGTGACGTGACTGTACAGTGTAGTTTGGGAAACATGACCCGGAACCTTCTCTCCTTACAGGACAGCTCAGCACACTGCTCATTAAAGTGAGTGTCCAAGTGAACACCCATAAATGAAAGCTGACCTATAAATGTCAGGACATCTGCTCAGCACCCAGCTGTGGTGTTTGAGAACTGCCATGTTTACAACATAGTTCTGCCAATGTTTAGTCAATCTAATTATTGTCCATAATAGAGCACAGTTTTGGACCTGTAGCAGGTGAGCTCAGGGGCAGGGTCCAAAAGCCCTGTAGGCTGTGCAAGGCATTTTGGTTTCCTGGGGCTTCTTTGCAAACTGAGAGGCTTAAAACAATGGAAATGTATTCTCTCAAATAAGCTTGAGAGTCATATACTTCCTCCTTGGACCAACATGGTGGTCAAGGTTGGTCTTGCTTAATGCTTGGGAGGGGAGATATTGCCTTATCAGTATTACTTTTAGCTATTATTTTATTAATGTTATGAGACTACAAGTATGACTACTACTCTTGGATAAACTGAAATACGGTGACAATAAAAACTTGAAAATCAGACAGAAAGGCAGCAAATGAATTCACTTTTCTGGTGATGGAGGTTTGAATGTTTGCGGTGGGAATGAAAAGGATGTCAAATATGTTAAAAGAAATTTTAAAGAAACAATGAATAGGCTTGGATCAAATATATTTTTAAGCTCTCTTACAGGGGAAAGAATAACATTCATTGTTTGGATTCTGATTGAGACAGAAATTTGCTCAAAGCAAAATTAGCTATTTCACCCTGTTTCCTTTTCAGCACATCAGAACTTGTCCACACACTCTTGGTCAGACCTTACATACAACACCAGTCGCTGCTGTCGTGGTCAGCTCAGTCCTCACTGTTTCTCTTCAATTCCATCTGCCCACCTATTACTGACTCTTGAGGAACTCAGAGTACACTAGCCTCTTTTTTCCCTATAAGCAATGAATCCCAAGTTCATACTGTCATTGACTTGGCAAAGAAACAGTCTTTGGCAATAGAAGAAGGAAATGAATAATTCTTTTATAATGAGAAAAGTGCTTCATTTTTCATAACTCTTGAAGGCATGTTTTCTTTCATGCTTGAGAAATAGCCATCATCACCCCACAGCCACCCTAGCCTCGAAGTTCACTTGTGTTGATGCAATACAGCAGTAATTGGATATCTGGAAGTTTAACACTCTTCAGAGGTCTCCAACTCCCAAAACAATCTATGAACAACCTCAAAGCAGACAGTGATTTCCCCCAGATCACAAAATCTTTTTTCTAGACAGTGCATGTTTTTTTGCCACTAGTTAAAACTGAGTTCTCCAGCCCAACACAGTCCTAAAGTCTCCTAAGAACAGCCACTTGAGGCTGCCATTGAGATTATAATGCCCACAGCAATTGTGATACAGAAAATGGAGCCGGTGATGACAACCTTCTCAAGCTGGACCAACTTTAATGCAAACTCTTCCTCCCAGTCACCTTAAGCCAGGACTCACCTTGCAAATTTGTCATCTAGGTTACTTATTAAAAAGAAAGAAGGATAGAAGGAAGGAAGGAAAAGAGAGAGAGAGAGAGGAGGAAAGAAAGACGGAAAGAAAGAAGGAAAGAAAGAA